TGATTCACATGAAATACAAAAATGATAACTGAAATGTTCTTTTAGATTTTAAAAAGTTGACATGTATCAGGATACCATGGCAGCAACAAATCATTCCTTATCTGTGTCATATTGTGAAGCCATACTCATGGGATTCTCCCGAAAATTGTCCTGCAAACTATGAGTCATATATGATGTCCTTACTTTTACAGTTTTTGAATCAAATTTGGTTCAAAAGATCTGGAATATACTAGCGCCAGATGCTATCATAAGTATTTACTTTTACCCTCACTTAGAAAGACGAGTCTGTATGTCTCATTTAGGCTATTTAGCTTATTATGTTGACCTGAATTTTAAAGCATGTTGGGAGTGAATATTCTCTCATACTCTGCGATATTAAGCAATAAATTGCTTTTGTTGATATTGTGTGTGCATCCATTCAAATAAACAGGGAAATTTATGCAAATATAACTATTTCACAAAAATCTAATCATCTGAGAAAATCATGTTACAGTCCTCTCTGCAAGTTCAACAAGGAGCAGCATCCATGCATATTTCAATGTCCCATGACTTTACATGAGAAGAATTACTGAGGTTTTCTTTGAGAGCTTAGAGAGACTGTGTCTAGGCTTCCATGTTGCAGACAAATGACATGGCCCCCTGTTGAAGGGTGGCTTCTTTCCTCTGACATCGCTGCCTTGATTTGTTCTATCAGAGTACGATAAAGGAGAGCTCATGCATGTTCTATGACTATGTGCCTGGTAGAGATACTTAAGGCTCTGTTTTTACAAGTAGCCTCTGCCTGAGGACTTGAGTCTAAAGTAAATTTGGGGACTAAAGTATTCTAAAAGGGTGAAACTCTTATAGACATTTAAAAAGGAGAGGAATCATAATCTTCCAAGTCAAACTGGTCAGCAAGAATGGAAATAACTCTTTCAAGCCTGCCAGCAGTGCATGGAAATAACATCATTGAGCTTGTGCTCTCTCTAAAACTCTCTCAGCCTCTCTCTCTCACTCACACACACCACATACATAGGACAACATGAATAGCTCACTTCCTGTTCTTTTTATATGGTGAAAGCATATTAGCAAGAATAGCAACTTAGCTGTTATATATATGTATATAATATATAATTATATACACAGTCATGTGTCATTTAACAGTGGGGTTACGTTCTGGTAAAGTTGTTGTTAGGAGATTTCATTGTTGTGTGAACATCATAGAGTGTAGTTACACAATCCTAGATGGTCTAGCCTTATAGTATCGTAAATTCATAGTAAAAACATAGCTGTCTATCATCAAGTATTATGTGCTGTACGTAATTGTATGTGCTATAGTTTTATATGTCTGATAGCATAGTAGGTTTGTTTACACCAGCCTTACTGCAAACACGTGACTGATGCATTGTGCTATGACATTATGATGGCTACTGCTACTAGGTGGTAGGAATTTTCAGCTCCATTATAATCTTATGGGCGCACCATCATATATGCGCTTCATCATTGACCAAAACATTGCTATGTGGCACATGATTATATTATATACTTTATATAATTATATTTATATTTATATTTAAATAACCTTGTAGTTATAACTAAAAGTAAATGTCATCTATCACTCGGGTTATTTTCAAACTCAAACAATAACTCTGCTGATTTATAGGGAACTGGTGTGATGCACTAATAGCCGGGTCCTGTTGGGTTTTAAGCACTTGCCTATACATGATCTTATTTGTTTTACCAACCTGAGGAAGCAGGCATCATTAATCTCATTCTCTACGTGAGGAATCTGAGGCTTGAAAACTTAAATCATGTGTTAAAAGTGTTACAGCATGGAAGTAATAGAGTCAGTTATCAAATCCACATCTTTCTGACACCATAGTGCTTACTTATCTCTGTGTCACACCCCCTCTACTACACATACACATGGACTTGTCTCTTTCTTGAGGATCAGGTTCTAGAGTGATCAGGCAAGGGAAACAAGTGAACATTTAAAATTACCCTTAAAAATTCCCTAAGATATGTACTTCCGGGAAATTCAAATAAAGCAAATTTTTGTTTTCTTTTCTATGTTTCTGAATTAGAACACATTGCTGTTTCTTTGATTGAACATCAGAGAAAGCAGTTGACTTCTTCTTAGAGGTGGTAGCATATGAATATGTATCTCTATGTACTGGACTTACCTTTGGGGGAGCAGGATGCTCACATTATGAGAGGCTCACAAAAGTGAAACGGATTGAAGAAACAAAAGAATCATGTTTCCCATCTCAGGTTTTCTATAAGTAATATACACACTGAGCGAGTAGACATACTACCTACCATTTAAATTGTAATTTTACCTGCTTCCTTTTGTTTCCTTTTTTTTTAGAGGGTTGGGGATATGGGTGTTTGCTAAGCACATAAGTGAATTCACTTAAATTAGTTGCACATATGCTATGGATCCAATGAAACTTATTATAAATGCATGTCAAATATCACAATATTTATAGAAGAAGAAGAACTGATCGATGAGACATTACTTGAACCCTCAATGTTTTCTGGCATTTCTGCAGCTGGCTTTTTAATTATTGTCATCCCCAAATTCAAAGGGTCTTAGATCAAAAGATTTCATCCAAAATGGCTGTCAATGATACAATCTTTACTTTTGAGCAAAGTTATTTCAATGTATGATTAGCTAAAATTATGAGCTGGGGAGTTCAGACCATATTACAAGGATGTTTCCTTTTTGCAGATTCATTATATAGTAGACTCTGATAATATATATATATATATATATTTTTTTTTTTGAGTAAGATTAGCCCTGAGCTAACTACTGCCAATCTTTCTCTTTGTGCTGAGAAAAACTGGCCCTGAGCTAACATCCATGCCCATCTTCCTCTACTTTATACATGGGACGCCTACCACAGCATGGCTTTTGCCAAGTGGTGCCATGTCTGCACCCGGGATCCGAACGGGCGAACCCAGGCTGCCAAGAAGTGGATCGTGTGAACTTAACTGCTGTGCCACCAGGCTGGCCCCAACTCTGATAATATATTTTAATTTTTCATCAAGTGATACCAGGAATACACAACCATATAAAACTACCAATCTGTCTATAGAATATAGTCTTGTACAAAAGACCTAAAGAAAACATTTGCCTTGATCCTGTCTTTTACTAAACAATCACTATGATTTTGACCTATGAGCACTGCAAATTTTGTATCAAAATGGGTAGTGTCCTTTGCTTTGTCCAGTACAAAGTCCAGCATTAAATTTGAGACCTGCTTGGAGCCACTATGTAGAGCAAGCTGGTATCTGAACTGTATCTCTGAGATTTAGCTTACTATTTTACCCATATTTTCTCTTCGTCTTGCCTTATGCATTGGTTTCCATGGTCATATTTTAGATATCTCTCTAAGTCAGCCTCTAGCATTATTTTGGTCAAAGAAGGCGACAAAGAAACAAAGAAAGAAATAAAAACACAGTTATCAAAAATGTTAGGTATTTCTTTGGAGATTCATGAAGTCAATTGTTAATGAGTCCTATAAATCACAGCATGCATGACACAAGCCCAAAGTTAAGATTTCTTTCCTAAACGGCAAGTTGCTAACTGAATTATACTAGAAAAGTTTCGCTTAGAAACATAGCAGCTGGGACTACAGTAGTGAATGAGACACATGATCTGCTCTTAGAGTCTAGGGGACAAGAGAGAAAACAGCAACAAATCATACAAACATGTGATAAGTGCTGTGGGAGAAGATACTAGAAACACAAGCCAAGTCAACAGAGCCAAGAAAGTATTGTGTTTATATTTGGTTGAACATAGGATAAGATCTGTCAGTGATTAGGAGCTATCTAGTCAAAGGTGTTAAGAGTAAGAGTATTTCAGTCAGAAGGAAGAGTATAAAAAGGACATAGCTCTCCAGTGAGTTTTTGAAATTAGAGCTAATGATGAGGCACCGAGTTAAAATCGTGGGATTGACAAGCAAGTCTTGTCTCCCTTCTTTCAGTGGCCAGGTGCAGACATACCATCTATATAATGAAGCATTATATGTCTGAGTATATCCATAGTCTGACAGCCAAATACTTAAAGCCATGTCTTCAGGATTTATGACATCTCTCCTTATGAAATGGACCTCTGTTTCTACTGCTCTGCTTGTGTATTTGCCTTTACAGATGGTTAGCTTTTCTGGTCAATAACAATTTGGATTAGATGAAATTCTTACAACGAAAACTGAGGACATGACTTCAGCATAAGAACTTTACAGGAATATCCAAGCATGAATTTTTTTAAACATAAGTTTACTATATCCAGCATTTCCACATGGAGAAGACTGAATATTATTGTCAGGATTTCTAAGTGTGAAGATTTTGTCTCATTTTTCAAAATCTGCCCAACGAAAGCCAGCTGGCTGAATATTTGAACCCATTACTTCCATTTTGAGCTAAACAAACAAACATAAAAGAATGTTCTCCACGTGCTACTTAATAGAACTGTCTTTCTAAAAATAATCTAAAATTTCAAAGAATATTTGTCTATACACATTCTACTGCCTGGATAATTTATTTGTTTTGGCCAAGTTATTCAGAACTACCACTGCCATTCCTCTTGAAAGCAAAGTGCCACTGTGATTGGGTTCTCATAATTTTAAACAATTCTCTCCATTTTGGAGAGGGGCAGAGAGGAAGAGCCTGCATGCACATTTAGCCACATTTTCTCAGATTTTCACATACAGGCTGTAATCTACACTATCATCCATTACACAGAAGTAAGATATAAATTTGAGTACATATTTTCTTCTCTCCGTTTCTTCCACTAGTCCTTTTAGGGACTTCAGTTTCACACTTTTGAAAATATTCTCTTCAAAAATAACAAAGTGTTATAAATGAAGACTTTCCAGATTTACTTCACAGGCAATGCGGAATGTGAGAGTAGAGTAACAGTGATTATCTATAGCGTTGGTTTAATAAAGATTGAAAAGAACCCTACAAGCCACCGACGTTTGAAGAGAGTCATCTTGACCAGTGCAGTCTCTTCCTACCTGCCTCTTTGGAAATCTGCGTGAAGGATTCCACACCTTTCTCTCCATAACTTCCTTCAGATGCGAGAGTAGACACATAATTCCAGCCTAGGGCCTTTACAATGTCTACCATAGCCTGGGCTTGGAAGGAATCGGGTGGGACCACTCGAGAGAAGAAGTCATAGCGCCGGTCGTCACTTAACTCAGGTGCCGTTGATGCATAACTAATCTGGGGGATCTGAAAAGACAAGAAAGTACCACATGAGAGCACACCATCAAGATGTGAGAGACTCATTTACACTTACGACAGTTTACTCAAGATACAGGGCTTGAGCTCCAAAGAGGATACATGTTTTGCCAAACACCACTACGTAACTATAGATCCTAAAGGCAACCAACCACTTCTTGACAGCACAGAAGCACCCACTTTTGTGCTTCGGCCTTTTTATGTTCTCCTCTTGGGAGAGGGAATGAGGATGGCATGGAAATTACATGGGTCATCATGATTAGGAGAAAAGAATTCATAACCATTCTGGCTAACTTTTTGAAACAGGCTTTACTTCTCACAAACTAATAGAAACGAAAACACAACAGCCTAACTGGAGTGTATATAGAGATTGGTTTAGTTGATGCAGCTCGTGAATGTTGGTGGATGTCATTAGCCATCTAAAATTTATTGAGAGATGATCATCTGTGATTTGGGGAATATCTAAGCAAGCTTCATACATTGTTTCACTTATTCTTCACGAGAATGTTAGGAGGTAGCTCAGTAACACCTTTAGACCCAGGCAAAGGGGTTTGTGTTTTCACCTCACCCCAAAGTCCTTGCACTTTGGAGGGCCTTCTTCAAACTTTTCTCAGTTCCCCTTTGGGAGGTGGGAGAGGGCTGGCAGTCCTGTCTGGGTGGAGCTCTCCGCCTCTGATTCCCATTTTTCCCCTTTAGAGAACTCTCCGACCCTCTACTTCACATGGGATCAATCAGATGTCCCAAGGAGCCCTAGAACTTCTGCCTAAAGGAATCATCCTAGGGCCCCATAGCGGGACCCTGGTTCCGGGAGGGCAGCCTAACAAGAAGGTTGTACCCCTTGGCTGGCACAGTATTCATTTCTTAGGATCATATGAGTTTAGGCTGCCAGAGTAGTCCTGAGATACATATTTTAGCTAAATCAAATTATGTATACAGAAAGAGGCCCTGCAAACAATGTTTGCCTAGGGTCCTAAATACCCTAGGGAAGTCCTGAAATAGCCATAAATTAGGATCTGGCTTATGGCGTAACTTCAGGACCTCTATGCTAGTCGCTTTTACAACGTACTACCCCCTAGTTCTTTCTCCTAACACTAGCATGCAGTAGGCTGTGATTGGTGCAATTAGTCTACCTACAAGAATGATTAATTCCTACAAAATTATGCTTGCACACTCTCCCAGGACTTACTCCTCCTTTATCATAAGGATTTCTCAAGTATCTCAAGGCCAGTTTTGATCTTTGCTCAGACCAAGCCTAACAGCGAGTTGACTCTTTGAGCCCTGAAAATTCTATTTGATATTAACCTATTTCTCTCCTTCCAGTGCAGTTTGCCTAAAGTATACCCATTTACCATCTTTTGAAGCTGGTTACCACCTCTGTAAAGCTCATTTCTCCACCAACCTTTCCAGGTGAGCATTAGAATCAAGTCATGTAGCCCTGACAGTCGATGGCCCCCCATCTTCCATGCAGCCCATCCCTGACACAGTTCTGCTCTGTGAACACTGGGGGTGGGATTTCTGTCCCTGACTCAAAGCCCAAAGCCATTGTGAGAAAGCCTCAGTCTCCTCATGGGTCTTTACTTGAGCAACTCCTCCATTACAGGGGGAGTGAGGTGTAGTGGAAATAAAATGGGATTTGGTATTGACAAGATATGGAATCAAAGCCTAATGTTTCTTTTCACTAGTGTTTACTTTGGTGAAGTTATTTCATCTCAATGAGTTGGTTGCATCATTATTAAAAGGTGGTTTTGAGGGGTAAGAATAACAAATGTGCATTACTTAGCATGATACCTGTGACAGAGTGGTTTCTTAATACATGGGAGTAATGATAATCCAAATAGAGAACACCACATGTTTCCTTACTAAGCTTACCTATTCTCTACGTTTGACTTCCCAAGTTCTCTGTGATACATTATCACAGACATTCTCCTCTTGTCCTAAGGCATGAAAATATTTTTGCATATTCTTATCATTATTGCTTTAGAAATAATACCTACTATTTATCCAACTCCTTATTACGTGCCAGTCATGTTCTAAAAGTTTCATATACATTACCTTATCTAACCATTAGTAAACATTCTTCACTATACTATACCATACCATTATTAATTCATTTTACAAAAGAGAAAATTGAGGCTTGGAAGTAGAATAAGACCTTGCTTCAATTCACAAAGTTGCAAGATAGCAGTACTCAAACCTGAAGCTGCCGAGTGTGAACTTCTGAAGTCCTAACTGTGATACTTTGCTGAATTGTTGCTAAGATATTTTAATAATAAGCATAAAACAAGGAAGGGCAGATTATTGGAGTCCAGGCCAATTTCTGTCCACAGCACTGACTGTAGAGCCAGTTATTTTTTGATCACTCTCAGACTGTTATTCAAACATTTTTATTTAAATGCCTTGTTAAAGCTCATACAAATATCTTAAAACAATGAGCTCCCTATGTTTCATTTATAGTTCTGAGGTTATAAATTTTAGGTAAAGAAAACAGCAACTGAATAAAAGCTTTGGGCAGAAAAATAAAGTGGGGGGGATAGGGAGGGGAAAGAGAGAGAGAGAGAATTTTCTTAAAAGAAATATAAAGGAAAGAAGCCAACCACGTCAATACATTTCCATCAATTGCAACTTGTGGAAATGTAAAAGCCTTGTGCTGTTGCACAGATATCTTCACTGCCAAAATCCCTTTCTACTTTTGAATAGTGCTAATAAAGATACATCCAGCCCTCCAGGTGAATTCGCATTTACACAGTTGCTGTAGAACATGAGAATTGTGAAGTGCCCCCAATGCAAATGCATGTTTTAAACTGTGTCCTAAACTTGAATAATGAAAATCAAGTTGAAGCAGATTTCTTTCCTAGCTACTATGCACCCTTTAAAAATGGTTGCTATCTGTGGTCTATCCCTTCCATCATAAATAAGAAATATCTTCTGGCTTAAGACTCATATGTCCCTTTAGGATCATGCACACAACCTATGTTCAATGGTACTTATTTCTACACTATGCATATAATGATTCTAGCATAAGGAATGAAAGACCAAACGGATATTATTTCTGAGATAAAGATATGGCTACATAAGGATATCCTTCCTAGCAATGGGAGATGAACAACTGCAAGAATTTATGTAACCTATGAATTATGATGCCACATACTTATTTAGCTATTATGCTGTATATTTAGTTACTTGTTTTTAAACTGATGTGTAAGCCTTCATAGTAATTATTTTGAAGTGTGTGTTATGACTGGTACCTATAACTGACTAAATTATTATTGGTCATTTTTGCTGATTACCTTCCACACTCTCCTTGATATCTAGCTATACTTTCTCTTTCTGCTTTTGAAATCCTCCCCTCTTGCCAGTCTTCTATGGAAACACAGAACTGATCTTTTTTGTTTGTTTGTTTGAGGAGGTTTAGCCCTCAGCTAACATCTGCCACTAATCCTCCTCTTTTTGCTGAGGAAGACTGGCCCTGAGGTAACATCTGTGCCCATCTTCCTCTACTTTATATATGGGACGCCTACCACAGCATGGCTTGACAAGTGGTGCATAGGTCTGCACCCAGGACCTGAACTGACAAACTCTGGGCTGCTGAAGTGGAACATGTGAACTTAACTGCTGCACCACCAGGCTGGCCCCAGAACTGATCCTTTGATGAAGATGATTTAGTGTAATAACACTTCAGCTATATAAAAATAGATATTCCATCTCTCTTTGAGCCGTCCTGTCTCCAATTTAAGAAACTAAAACACTTTTAATCTTTATCATAGGAATACATTTCATCTTAATTTTTAAATTATATTTTACTGTAAAAATTATATTTTAGTAAATTTTACTCACAAAAAATTTGCCTATCACACAAACATGGTTTTGTTGATGATAATCAAATAAGATTAAAAATATCTATACCCTACTCTATTTGTTGATAATGAGTTTGTACTTTTATAGTTTTTATGAAAAATAGAGAAACAAAAACAAGAAAACAACTTTAATGCCTTGATCCCTGTTAAGATTTTGTTATATCTCTATCATATTTGTGTGTGCATGTGGATATGCACATATCTATTATTAATTATGAAAATATGAGTCTTAATCTCACCCTCCCTCCCCTCCCCTTCTTCCCCTTTCATTTCTCTTTCTCTCTTTCTCTGGTTGCATAATACTCTGCTGAGCTATATCTAACCTAAATCTAATCTTCGTTGTTAAATGCTTACAGATTTTTCAAGTTTTCACTATCATTAAAAGTTAAACAAAATTTCTCAGAGCTAATTCAACCCTTTGTAGACATCCAGGAGTATTTTCTTAGAATACTGTTCAAGCACCTCTTCCCACCAAATTGACAGAAATATATGAGGTTTACATCTAAATATTTCCATATGCAGAAATTACTTGGGGTTGTTATATAAGGTGGACCAACAATCAATATTTTTTTTTCTTCCAAATGGTTAACTACTTGCCCCAGCACCGTATATTAAATACTCATTCTTTGCTGATAGGAAGACCATTCTTTGTAATATACTAAATTCTTAAATACCCTTGGGTCTTTGGGGTATATTTTCTACTATTCCACTTCTCTGTCTTCCAAGTCTTGGGCCACTGTTTTACTATTTTAGTCCTTATAAACTTAGAGTATTTTAGGGTTATATTAGTTGGAACATATTCTCTCTTCATAACTATTACTTTAAAAATGACCTTGTGTAATCACATGTGTTTAATTTTCCAGCTTAACTTTAGCATAATTTCAAGTTCACAATAAAGTTCCATTATGATTTGATGAGGATTACATTATATTTGTAAATTAATTTGCGAATAATTGATCTATTTACAATATTTTCTTTTTCTCTAGGAGAAAATATCTATTTTCATCCATTTTGTTGTTCTTTCTTTTCTCTTAGTAAAATTTTACAATTGTCTCCATATAGGACTTGCACATTATTAACTTTATTTCTAGATACCTGTTATTAACCTTATTTCTGGATAATTATTACTTTTATTGC